CCCACTGAGATTACCACCAGCCTAGGTAGCCTTTAGTCGATGGGCAGAGGCAGGATTAATGAGGATCCAGAGGGAAGACTGCCTGGGTGAGAAGTTGGTGACAGGTGTCATGTTATAGTGGGGACAGCAGTGACTTGGGGGCTGGGTGGACTTGAGTTCTCCTGTCCTTTTCTAATTTCTTGACTTTGAGAAGGTCAGGGAACACTTGTTTCTTTGCTTCTGTGTCTAGCAAGTCAAAGAGTTCATTAGCTGACTTAGCTTTTGTTCAATAAAATCTGTGAATAGGCAGCTCCTAAAAATACACACTCTGGAAATTGAATTTACGTGAAAGCGCTACTCACAAAGGTCAAGCGCAACGTGGTGGGGTGTAGGGTGTGAGGCTTTATTAAGGAATGGATTTTGTAACCTAACATCTGTACCTATTCAGTTTCTTAGGAAGTTTTTATATTTTCACTTACTTTTTTAAAGCTTTAGTAGAACTAGGAGTACTTTCAATAGAGAACAGTAATTCAATTTTTTTTTTTTTAGAAAAGACTTATTGGTTATTAAAATTTTTTAAGATGAGCCAGGAAGGTAGGAAATGGGGACATTGATCTGAGATGTGTTTTGGGTACAATTTTCTCACTTTTGTGGGCGTGTCTGCCTTTGGTTAAAGAGGGAAGAAAAGGGATATTTTTCAGTCTCCCACCATTATATCCATTATTCAGAATTTTCAGTAACACATGTTACTTTTCTACAAGTGTTCAGTGCTGTTACTCCTGTTGCTGTTTTAATACCAGGAATGTTGAACAGATGTGAAAGCACTATTGGGTGATTCTTCACTTGTCCCTCTCAAGAGTTTGAAACAAATTTTAGAATATGCATAATGAATGTAGAGGAATTTTTTTACAGAATGAAATATGGCCAACTTCTGCCTAGGTGTGGATGCAGATAAATGACTCAGTTCTGTTAGAAAAGCAAATGAAATTCTTCTGTAAAACAGATGCTTAAATAATCATGTCACTTTTTTCCTAAAATCAGTTCTGCCAAAAAACCCAACACTACCAAGTCTGATAGGACTTCTCTCCTAATAATGCATCGACTTAAGTTTTGAGATGCCCCGTAGAGCATAGCATGTTTAAAAAAAAATGAAATAATTAAATTTGTTTGACCTTTCCAGTTGATATACCAGATTTTCTTGGTTTAGCTTATCTTATTCCTGGGGATTGTCAACTAATGTCACAGTTGGGAATTATATATTGTGACTTTATGAGTCAACACTTCTTATTGCTGGCCAAGTATAAAAAACCTATGAACTTTGATGGTGGTTTTTTTGCTTTGTCAACTTTTCCCATATTTCAGTAGTGATAGGTCAAAAAACATCAAGTGAAGTGAGAGGAAGTGGCAGGAATGTGTTATATTTTGTCCCTTTTACATAATTAAAATGAGGTGCTTTTATTAATTATTACTGATTTTGACTTTCAACTAGTCATATTCTAAGTGTTGAATGTTCTGTAGAAATAGAAAAGTTACAGTTGGGTCTCTTGGAGCAAAAATAATTATTTTTAAAGACAACATGTAGTTTTCCTTTTTTAGGATGCAAATTGTGTTGTGGTTATTACTTGATGTCATTTTAGCCAGCAATGTCTCAAACATAGAGAAGGGGAGATTTCACCTTTTACAACTGGTTTGAAGGGATGAAATGAAGGGGGGTCATGAGAGACTGTGAATCAATAATTCAAGAAGTTTCTTTAGCTGCCCTG